GTGTTCAGAGAATACTGTCATGAAAACCTGAGCTATCATCCACAGAGTCGGGGGCTAAATAGCTGTTCATCTTCGTAGTGGTTTTAGTTCCATCTAAGCAAGGTCTACTGAGAGCCTACAGCATCCTCGCCCTAAGCCAAATGCTAGGGATGCCAAGTGAGCCGTCGATGCGTCCTCCACTTTCTTGATGATCACTCTTTCTCCAGAGTGTAGGAGTTTGCACCTTGTCTTTCTAGTGTCAGTGGTTAGTGAACATATTGTATAAGATGAGCAGTGTGACAATGGCTTGAACAGAGAGGGCACTTGAGGCAGAACCCAGTGGTTGAACCTAAAATTAATTTTGGCGAGTCGCTATAATATCATTAGAATGCAGTGTGACTTAAACCTTGGAATCAGTTATTATTTTGGTACTTTAACTACAAGTGGTTTTGTTTTTGACTGTATATTTATATTTACATATAGGAAAAAGTCGATTTTCAGATACTCTTCGGTGTATCTGCATCTCTGTATGCAGGTACGGAGCTTACTGCTGAGGTTACACTTCCCCTTGGTGAACTTTCCCCTCTGTGGACTTGCTTTTGGGGGCACTTCATGACTATCATACCATTACACTATTAACTCATCCGTGGAAAGCCATAATGATCACTTAAAAGTACTTATTAAATAAACAATGTAAAGATGTGGTTTTCTTCTCTCTTTCTTTGGGGTTTGAATTACATTGTCAGAGAAATACAAACACTTTTAGTAACGTGCTCTGTCTGCTCCCAGTGATTCATGGGTGGTTGTCTACAAACGCAGGCTCTGCATAGGCAGATTTTAAGTTTCACTTAACAATTTTAATTCCATGCATTTTTTTTTGTGTGTGGGTGTGTGCATCTGGGGTGTGTGTACGTCATAGTACGTGTGTGGTCAGAGAATACCTTCTAGGAGTCAGCTCTCGCCTCCTCCTGTGTAGGACCTGGGATTAGAACTCAGGTCAGCAGGCTTCACTTGCTAAGCCTTCCTGCTGCTCGGTAAATTTCATCTTTGATTTCCGGTATTTTCTTAAATGGGTTGAACTTGGCACCACCATTTTTACCTATTTAAAATGTAAATATGTCCAAAGTCCTGGCAAGACCCCAAAGAGTTGGTATTATCAGAGAGGCTCATAGTTTTCTTTGGTTCTTCCGCGAGAGGCAATGAGTCAGAAGGCATCAGGTTTGAGGCGGGAGAGAGAGAGAGAGAAGAATGTGTTTTTCCCACATTATGGTATTGTGCAAGCAAAGGTGTGGCTAATAGCCACATGCTGAATAGGAAATAGTGTCGGGAAATGTGATTAATATATATATAACTTTGTAGTTTGCTATAACTTTGTAGTTTGTTTCCATTTTTTAATAAGACATTTCAAAAACAATAAAACAGGACCAAATTAGAATATATGAAAGCGACACACATCAAGCTAAACAGCATCCTTAAAGTCATTTACTACTTAGAATTTAGTGGCTTCATTCTCACTCCTTCCATTTCCTGCAGGCCGGGCAGACGCAATGGATAATAGAGGGAGTGTGTGCTGTGAATGTTTCCCTTGTCATAGGTTAGCCTCGTGGACACTGAAGCAAGTTAGGGATTTTAAGAAGGATGTAGACATCTTCATATGCTCCATTTTCTGCTTACGTTCCAAGGCCTGATTGACAGGCTCTATTTGTTTGAGAACCAATGGATCTTTAGAGTATTACCCGATAAATGAACATAATGTTTGAGTAGATAAATGCGAGCCATGATGATGAATATTGAACATAATAACCAAAGAAATATTAAAATTATGAATATCTATGAGGATATGACATATATATATATGTATGTATATATATCATATCCTCATATAGAATATACATACATATATATGTCATATCTTCATATAGAAACGCTGTTATTCTATTACTACTTAGTACTATGTAACTATAGTTATTAGAAAGTTTATACAACCGATCCAGAAACTGACTCTGGGGCCCTCATGAAGATCCCCAATCTACAGAAGGTGTGGGGCCTGATGCTCAGGTTTGAGTAACAGGATAACAAAGGCTCTTCTAGGGCTACTGGGAACCAGAACTTCAGAAAGAATAGCTCTCCTCTGCTGTAGCAGACATTGCCCTTTTCTTGGTGAGCACACATGGAGTAGAATAGAGCTCAGATCGACCTCCACTTCCAGTGCACACCCAGGTACTGGGTGAGGTGGCAGTTGTGTTTCTAATGTTCTGAAGGATCTCTGCTATTAAAGAGTTGTAATCAACCTAAGTGTTCATCAGTGGATAAACAGAGAAAATTCTCTCTCTCTCTCTCTCTCTCTCTCTCTCTCTCCCCCTTCTCTCTCTCTCTCTCTCTCTCTCTCTCTCTCTCTTTCCTTCCCTCCCTCTCTCTCTCTCTCTCTCTCTCTCTTTCTCTCTCTCTCTCTCTCTCTCTCTCTCTCTCACACACACACACACAAATACACACACGCGCACAAATACTATTCAACCATAAACAAGTTCTGTGATTTGAGACAATACATATGAACCTTAAGGGCACACGCCAGGAGCCCAAATACAAGTGTTGCATGATCTCTCATTTGTATACATTGTATAAAAAGTTGACCTTATAGAAATAATGATTAACAGAGACTGAGATGGGGGAAGGGGGGGAACCACGAAAGAAATTGGTCACTGGTACAAAGTTACCATTAGGATAGGTAGGTTTTGTCACACACAAGAGTTGCCATCAACAGTAACAGAGTTAATATTTCAAAAGAGCTAGAAGAGATGATTTCCCCCTTATTTTTAAATTGTAATTGTTGAAGAAAGGATTTTAATGTTTTATGACCAAGACAGGATAAATGTTTTGAAGCCACGGATACGCTGACTGCCAGGATCTGATCCCTGTATGATGTTCGTGCAGTGTGCTGGCTAGTTTTTTGTTAACCTGACACAGATTAGAGTTATCTGGAAGAGACGCCTCAGCTGAGAAAATGCCTCCATCAGATAGATTTGTAGGAAAGTCTGTGGGGCCATTTTCTTGATTAAGGATTTATATGTGAGGGTCCAGTCTGCTGCGGGTGGTGCTACCCCTGGCAGGAGGTTCTGGGTGTATAAACCAAAACAAAAAGCTGAGGGACACCTGAGGTACAAGGCAGGAAGCAGGGTTCCTCCATGGTCTTTGTCTCCAGGTTCCTGCCCTGCCTTCCCCTCACGATGGACTGTAAGGACCATTTCTACTCAAGTTGCTTTTGACCATGGTATTTATCACAGCAGCAGACAGCAAATTAGAGCATGTGTATTGAAGTCTCACATTGTTCTCCCGCAGATGTGCTCATTACGCATATGTATGTGTGTATCTAGGGCTGTCCAAAAGCAGCCGTGGCAAGAGAGGAAGTCGGCAGGGGACCTGTGAGGGTGCTACAGGACAGACAGCCACCGGAGCTCATTGTTCCTTTGTTCCCACATGAATACTTTCCAAGTTGGGAGGTTTGAGTACAAGGAAGAGGAAGGGTTTTAACTTCAGCATTTCTGTTGGTATTCTGTGAGCTAGGGGTGGTTTACTTTGACAGGAAACACCGCCAGAAGACTAGGACAGGAGACAAAACCACTATTCACATTTAAGTATGAATTAATACCCAGGTTTGAATTTGCAAGACCCCCTGCCCCCAGCTAGCTGAGGTAAACGATGAGACAATAGCAAAAGATACTTTGGGGACTCAGTTGAAGAACTGGGCCAAAAAGGAATTTTAGAGACCTCGGTGGGAAATGAGAGCTTTGGCTTCTAGGAGACACGAGGGACCAGAGGGTTCTCAAAGATGTCAGAAGGAAGTAAAGAAATGGCTGTGGTAGAAGATGGGAGGAGGTATGTAATGTCACCTATGGGCCTTGGTTTATGCATCCACAAAGTCAAGGTGGGTGGGGGTCATTTATGAGGGTCATGACCTGCAAGTAACCACTCTACTTGGTGGAGATTACTCAACTCAGCAAAGGGATTCACACTCCTCAGACTTTCTAAGGGCAGATTCCTGTTTCTGATGTCTGTTTCTATATTTGTAGATTGCAAATGCTCTCTGTTTCTCCCTGAAAAGCCACAGAGGACTTCCTTTGTATAGCTGGTAAATACTGGACATGCTGTTGATGACTCTTGCCTGTCAATATGCCCATCCCCATTGCCCCTTTGCCTCTTGGTGTCCTGTTTGCTGCTCGTTTGCCACAGTCTAGTCTTGAAATACATAAATTGGGTTTTGATCATTGACTTCCCTTTGCATGCAGACACTCTGGTAACTATAAATTGATTCCATTAGTCAGATTCTGCCTAGTTTAACTGAGGCTCCCATTGATCAGCCTTTTATGGTGGGGGATTCTGAAATAACATTTAGACACCCTGGGTAAGACTCTACACTTACAAAGCAAGTCTCCTGACCTCATCCTATTTTATAGACAATAAAGCATTTGTACCTGGTGCCATATTTTTTACTGGGTCTTTACAAGTCCCTGTAATATGGGAATGTGTGTAACACTACACACTTTAAAGTCACACGACATATAAAATGAGTTTTATGCACTCCAAGCTGCGTTATACCATTTCCTTTTTCTTTTGCTAAATACACAGTTTTATAACTAGTAAAAATTAGATGGGAAAGTCATTGTGTTTTATGATCTGGATAAAGGTTTTTAATGTAATATAAGAAAAAAAACCAATGCCAAACATGCTGCTTCAAAGATAACAGAAAATTCAGAATAAACTGGGTTAGCAAAGTTCTAAAGTGGCCTCCCTGTAAGGTTGTCTCATCAGAATGTGAGCAACAAAAATATTTGGTTGACATTGTAGTGTTTTGCAGGGGTGTTACAATGGATAAAAGCAGGGATAAAGGCCGTTGTCAACTAGCACTGGGTAGAGTTGTGACTTAAACTCAGAATCCAGTTCTGATTGAGCTAGCACACCTAGAAGAATCTGTGGACACAGAATCCAACTTCCATCAGAATGCAGAAGTCCCCTGGCCTGCAGTCTCAGTAGGCTCTCCGGCATTCGTAAGAGCCCCAGGTCATGCTACCATCTTCTTTTGTCCAAGGTGAAGGATCGTGAAGGGAAGAGGTGTCTGACCCCTCCTCTGGGGAGAGGGGCACCACCTTGGATGGGAGGTCATTTGACATGGTCATGAACGAAGTGAAGGGGTATGAAGACGGGGTGGGGTACCCTGGCGTGTGGTGCAGATCTTCCAGTGAATGCAGTGAGTAGGACTGAGCCCCAGCCAGGGATGATCCCCATCCCATGCTCCTGTGTTGGTTGCTGCTTCCTGACTCCAGCTGGGAGAGGCAGCTGGTGCTGGGTGGCAGGGTCTGCAGGACCTCAGCTGGCACAGGGTCTGGTTGGCTGAGTCCATCCGACACCGTCTGTTCCCAGGAGTCTCTCTGAGGAGAATGGTAAAGGCATGGAAATTAGTTTTTAGGGATGCACTGAGGATATAGCGCTGCCTGCTGGATCAAGACATCCAGAGAAGCCTTCAAACCCTCTCGCTGCCGCAGAAGCCTAGCCTTTGGGCAACTTTACCCTCTGCTGTTTGACTCAAGTCAGGGGAATCTGGGTTAATTTCTACTCAGGGATGTTTCTCTGGGTCCTGCATTCCTCTTTACACAAGCAGGGGAAGGCGGTACCTGGTTCTGGTTTAGGGTAGTCCTCCAATGATGTGGGGTAGGGACTCCCTACCTCCTCAACAGTACTTTCTTTGGGGTGGACTGAGTTCATTCACCGCATCACCTACCACCCTCTGAGCCCTTCGTCTGTGAAATGGGGCCCAAAATCGAGCTGCTGCAAATATTAAATGAACAAAGACCCATGAAAGTTCTTGTCACAAAATAAGGCTAATTCCCTGACCCGCCCTCATTGTCTAAAATTCCACCTTCAGCGATTCATTCCTTTGTGCCAAGAGGCTTTAAGGTTTTCTATAAAAGGAGTATTAGCAGCTTTTTTTAGATCTTTCTGAACTTATTTCTTTGGAGGGATCAAGAGAGAACACGGTGTGTGTGTGTGTGTGTGTGTGTGTAGGCTTCCGGAGGAAGCTGGAGCAGAGGGAATGGCAAGGGAGCAGAAGATGAGTGTGAACCCTTCAGCATTTGCTTCTTAGGGTCCATGGGCTTAAACAAGTCTTACTCTAACAGGGTGCGGTGCATTCAGCAAACAGGATAGTAACAAGAGGAGCCTGAATTCTACTTTACAGGGCCCCTGATTCGAAACCCTAGCTAGACAATTTCGATGCCTTGGTTAATGTGATCTTTGTGCAGGCCTGAATCCCTCAGAAGTGTCCCAGCAGGTCCAGCCTGACTGGGCACCTCCAGGTTTGAGCAGAGCAAGAATCCCCTGGTGAGTTATCTCTGGCTTCAGCTTGGTCACCACATATGAGGGCTGGGCCACCGGAGCTGGGGCCTCCCCTTCCTCCCTGCACATTGAAATAACCGTACTCACAAACACCAAGTGAGTTGGATCGCCAGGGAACGGAGGTGGCAGGAGCGGTGGCAGAGTTGAGGTGCCGAACAGGGAACCCGGTGTGGAGGTCAGCGCTGGTGGGCGGTAGTCTCCGTAGGGCTCTGCCAGGTAGGACTCCAGCAGGCCCGGGTGACTCTGTCCCGCTGAGGACTCACAGGCAAAGGGCTTAGTCACGCCGGAGGGATAGAGGTCGTTTGAGAACTGCTTGCTGCTATGGAAGTCGGAGTCAGACAGGAAAGATCTCCGGACACCGTAGTAACCTGACATGACTGGCGAGCCTGTGGCCAAGGGAAAAAGAAGTGAGCAAAAGTTTCATGCTGGAAGTTCAGAGCATTGCAGCTCCTTCATCGGGACCCCGTGAAAAGATGGTACCCACATGTGCCTGACGTCGTTGACAAAGAAATATACATGTCTTGAATGGTGTACAATATTCCTGCATCACTGTTTCAGCCCAAATAACAGATATGCTTAAAGTTCACCCTGGATTTAGGGATGAATTCATGCTAGATGTACAATAACTTTTCCCAGATAATGATGTATCAAGTATCTTCCAGGTCCAGATGCTTCTAAGAGGGGCATAGAGAGGTAAGTTAAAGAGCCCCTTGGTATCCTAGTCAATACTAACTGTCGCCATGACATGGCTTAGAGAGTCTCAAATAAGTGTCTTTATCAGGTTGGTCTGTGGGCATGTGTGTGAGGGATTGCTTTGATTATTAATTGATGTAGGGGGTGCCCACTGCGGGAGGCGTCATTCCTTGAGCAGGCGGCCCTGGGCTGTGGAAGAAAAGTAGCAAAAGTGTAACCAAAATTCCTCCATGGTTTCTGCTCCAAGCTCCTGCCTAAGTTAGTTCCTGCCTGCAGAGTTAGGTCCTCTTCCCTCAGTGATGGACAGGAATCTGGAAGCTGAAAAGGGTGTTTTCCTCCCAAAAGTTGCTTTAGGTCATGGCATTTGTTGCAGCGACAGAATGAAGCTGGGCTATTTGGAACCTATGCCTTCCAATGAACTATAAAGATCTCTGAACGGCATCCTGTAACATACAGGACAGTTTCCAAGTGGCTGCTTCTGGGCTTCTTATAGGAGGTAATGTCTCTCTAGATAAGATAACACACAGCCCATCTCTTGCCAAGGGCAGTACTGTCTTCTGATTCTTCTGCGCACTGATCTTCACCACCTGTCTCACACCCGGCTGGCATAAAGTGATGACTTGCCATGGGACAGTATAGTTGTAGAAAAGTCAATTTTTGAGAAAAAACAATACCCATCCCGCCACACATGTCTGGCTTTGACGCTTCTAGTGTTATTTGCTGCCCCCTTGTGGTCACACTGGATCCCTCATTCACTTTGGACATTATGGAGACAGCTTGAATAGGGTTTCAAAAGGAAGAGGGGAAAACTGAAACTGGCAAGAACCTTATTTAAGAAAGACCAGTAGGTTTCAAGAGAGAGGAGAGATGCTCAACGCTTTTCGGGAATCCGTGTGGGACACAGACTCCAGGTCTGTGTAATTTATCACTTGTACAGTCCATATAGTAGAGGGTGGAATCTCATCATCAAGACCAACACAGGGAGGTTGCAAAAGGGCTGAGATGTGGAGGAGATGCCATCTTTGTCCCTCGTCCCTTTCCTCAACAATGGGAGGTTACAACTGAGCTTTGTCCCTGTCCCGGCCTATTCTTTTTTTTTTTTCCAAATACAACTTTTTAAAATTTTTATATTATTATTACAAATTTTCACCTCCTCCCCTTCTCTCATTTCCCTCCCCCTTCCCCTATTTCCCCTCCCTCTCCAGTCCAAAGAGCAGTCAGGGTTCCCTGCCCTGTGGGAAGTCCAAGGTCCTCCCCCCTCCATCCAGATCTAGGAAGGTGAGCATCCAAACAGACTAGGTTCCCACAAAGCCAGTACATGCAGTAGGATCAAAACCCAGTGCCATTGTCCTTGGCTTCTCAGTCAGCCCTTCTTGTCAGCCACGTTCAGAGAGTCCGGTTTGATGACATCCGGCCTATTCTTTAGAGAGAAGAGGAATGAAGATCATTGGGATCTTTCCCTTGGTGGCTTGTCACAGTGAGAGCCTGAGCCCCTTCCAGCCAACGTGGCCGTGGCGTCTTAGATTTTGCTCTTTACTCTGTCACTGCTACAGCTATCTTCCCAGTGGGTCTAAAAGTCCCATGGTGGTGTAGCAGATCTCATGCAGTGTCTGGTCTGTAGACCCAGGCGTGGAATGCTGCATCCAACACTCCATGCAGGGGGCACACTCGGGGCAAACAATCTCCCCAGCAAACCCTTTAGCAGGTTTTGACTCGCTACGCTGCTTTCATTTTTAATTCACCAATATCCAATCTGTGCCTGCACAATTGAACTCTGTGGTGACAGTTTTAATTATCAGCACCCTTTCGGGAACAGAAATCCGTGCAAATGAAAATTCATGTCATGAAGACATCCCAAGAATTGGTGCAGGCAAAGAACAGAGTGAGAAGGTAAATAGGACTCGCAGGATGACGGAGTTATAGTTCCAATTTCAAAATAAAAACAAGCGTGAGGGAAAGCCTCTGCTTTACTCAGTGTATCCATTTCTCCTTAAAGAGGAGGAGACACATTCTAGAAGGTAGGAGAATCGGCAGATACTCCCTCTGGTACAAAAGAGCAGAGGCAAGCAAATTCAAATGGAAGTAAACACGATGGGAAAATACAAGAGTCGTTCAGTTACGGGAGGCTTTGGAACTCCCCGCTTTATGCAACTTGAAAAGTGCTAAATCTCTCTGGAGTTTGAGATCTGGAGGAATAGTGTGTGTGTGTGTGTGTGTGTGTGTGTGTGTGTGTGTGTGTGTGTGGCTTGTGAGTGGTGAGGGCAAGGGGGTATATCACTTTTATTACCATTAAGAATATTCCTTTCCTATCCTCCCAGGATGGCGGAATTGAGACCCAGGAAACTGACATGAATACAGTATCTTGAACGCTGTGTGTGATGTACCATGGAAAGTACTTAATAAAGGTAGCCCCTGCCCCTAATGTTCCTTTCTCCCTCTGTCTACGATCAGACCATGGTGTCAGAGCTTTAGATGTTTTAACACTATACCCGGAGCCTGGTTACTATTGCTTTGGCCTAAAAGCTTCTTCCAGGCAGGGTTTTGAAAACAGCCTGCCTCTCAAGACCTAAAGGACTAAGCTCATGATGATTCGGTGAGATTTGTCTTCACTGATTTTTTTTTTTTAAGATGCAAAAATGAGAAAATGAGGCGGTTATCAGAACCTCGGCGGCTCTTGGCTGGGGATGGAACTTCGGTGATACAGTAGCTGCGTAACATGTGCGTAGCTCTGGGCTTGGTGGAAAACAAAACGCAAATGCTCAGTTGCTGCTTAAAAGCCAGTAAATTGCTTGTTGAATTAAAGGTCTCACCTGGCATCTGGACGAACGGAGGCTGGGAGGAGCTGACACTGCCCTGGAAGGCAAACAGAATGCAGGTGTTGTCAACCTTAGTTACAGCTCGAATTTAATTTTAAAAGTAGGAATATATTTCCAAACCATCCTTTCTTTCTCCCTTCCCTCCTTTCTTTTCTGGGTGTGGACATGTGTGCTTATGCACATGTACAAGTGCACACGTGTTCACATGTGTGTGAAGGCCAGAGGTACCCAGGTTAACCTTGGGTGCTGTCTTCAGGATGGCCAGCTGGTTAGCGTGCTTTTTGGTTTTTTGATTTTTTTTTTTTTTGAGATAAGGTCTCTCATCAGGATCTGGGCTTGTGGATTAGGCCAGATTGAATGGCTAGTGAGTTCCAGCTCACTGGAACTCCCACCTCCACCTCCTCAGCATGGAAGTGTGAGCATATACTATGCCCAGCTTTTTGCATAAATCTTGGGGTTTTAAGTGAGGTCGCCATGCTTGTATGACTATCGTTTATGAACAGTTACCTCTTCACTCTCTAAACTCTTATATTTTGATGCTTAGAAATGTTACTTGAAGATTTGGAGGAAGACAATTTAGAGTAGAATGTAAGTTTATTATATAGAATAGAATAAAGTTTTGCAAGAGAGAAACCAAATTTTTAGGTTCTGATAGATATGCCAAGAAGCATTAGCTAGATGAAACAGAATGATTTATCCTGTGTTTTACTCTTTGTGTCAATACTCATTCATAAAATATCTTAGACAGTGTTTTATATGCACATATATATCAGTGTGTTTGCATTCCTATATGCGACTGGCAGTTGGCCTCAACCCTGAGTGGCTACATTTTATTGTGGGTCTTTATGCAAAGTAAATAATCCACGGAGAGCAGGAATCCTGAGTGTGATTTTTCTTTCTCGCTCAAAGTAGAGCATGGTTCATAAAAGGCATAACAAACATTTGTGGAGAGAAGATGCAGTTCGAGGCAGGATTTCTCTGTGTAACAGCTCTGTCTGTCCTGGAACTCAGAGAGGTCCACCTGCCTCTGCCTCCCGAGTGCTGGGATTAAAGGCGTGCGCCACCACGCCCGGCTGAAACGCAGTTCTCAGAGAGCACACAGAGCAGTGATGGTGGAGGGTGGGGAAGTGGTAGGCAGAATACTGTTCTGTTGAAAAATTGCGTGCCTTTACGTTTCATTAGATGTGTGTTTGTGTGAATATGTATTTATGCGTGTGTATGTGTGTGCATGTGTATATTCCTGTATATATGTGTGCGTGTATGTTTGTATGTATATGTGTATGTGTGTGCATGTTATGTGTGTGTATGTGTGTGTAAATGTGTGTTTATGTGTGTATATATGTATGTGCACATGTATATGTGTGTATATATGTGTATGGATGTGTTTATGTGCATGTGTATGTATATGTGTATGGTGTGTTTGTGTGTGTATATGTGTATGGTGTGTTTATGTGTGTGCGTGTGTGTGTTTATGTGTGTATATGTGTATGTATATGTGTGTTTATGTGTGTGCATGTACGTGTGTGTATGTATATGCGTGTGCCCTGTGGGAGCGTGCACCTTGTGGTGGTCAGAGAACACCTTGAGGAGTCAGTTGCGTCCTTCCACCTTCTGGGTATGGAACTTACTTCATCAGGCTTGGAGGTGATCCTGTGACCAGCTGAGCATCAACATTAAAGTCCCGCCTTAATTCCTAGTAACTGTAACTGAACCTTATTTAGAAATAGGATCTTTGAAGGGATAATTACTTAAATTAAGATGTGTCCTTATCAGAAGAAAAGGGGAGCTAGATAGAAGACTTGGTAGGTAAGAGCCTTGTCTGGCCTTCCAGAGGAATCAGGGTCAATTCCCAGTACCCACATGGTGGCTTACAACCATCTGTAACTCTAGTCCCAAAACATCTGGTGTCCCCCTTTGGGCCTCTGTGGATACTGCTCACAGGCAAAAATAACCATACACATAAAAACAAAATTTTAAACAATTTTTTTTTTAAAAAAAATAAGAGAACAGTGATACAGATGAGGTGAGGGTCATATGGAGATATGAAAAATGTGAATGATTTAACCTCAAGATTAGGGATCAAGGTTGGTTGGTAGAAGCTAGGAGGAAGTAAAGGAATTTTTTTTTTCCTGCAGTTGCCAGGGACCAGGACCGACTGACATCCCCAGAACTGGGAGACAATGTATTTCAATTGTTTTCCGCTTTCTCCCTTGTGGTAACCTGGGACTGGTGCTACATGACTGGGAAGATGAGTGATGTGGATATGAGGATGAGTGGGAACACATTCTAGAGGAGGGCTGATGTACTGGCATCAGCATGAAGGATAAATGAATTTGCAGTGTCTTATAGAAATGGGGCTGGGATGTCAGTTCAGTATCTGCTGTGTAAGCGCCAGAATCAGAGTTTGGATTTTCAGGAGTCGTGTAAAAAGCTGGGCAGGCAGTATGTGCTTGTAACCCTGCCTTAGGGGTAGGCATTACAAACCATTGCATCCCTGAGGATTGCTGTCTAGCCAGTCTTTAGTGGAAGAGCAATGGAGGAAAGCCGTTCAACAGTGACCTGAGGTCTCTACACGTACATGTACACGTGTGTATGTACCATCCATGCATACAACAGCATAACACAATCACAGATAAAATAAAAAAGAAGTGGATACTGTAGCATAATTAATAAAAACCCAGAAACAGAAATTGGGGTTTAACCTGAAGGCCAGAAAAGCAAAATAGCCAGCCACAGGCTCTTACCTCTATCTCAGTCCGAAATGGCGATCCTGTCTCCAGGAATCTCAGACTAACTGAGAGCTGTCTCCTCCCATCCTATATTCCTCTCTAGTGCAGGAATTAAAGGCATGCACCACTACCACCCGGTTTCTATGGCAAACAAGTGTGGTTACTGTTATTAAAGGTGTGTGTCACCTTGCCTGGTCTCTAAGACTGACCAGGGTGGCTGTTTTACTCTCTGATCTTCAGGCCAGCTTTATTTATTAAAATGCAAATGAAATACCACTGCAGAATATTACAAAAGCAAATGGTAGCTCCAAAATGGCCCCAAATAAAGAAGGAGCTGAAAAAACCTTTCAAGGAGGTTAAGCATCCTTAGTACTCAGACCTCAGGCCTGAGCTCTCAGCCTATGCCTTCACGGTCCCGAGACTCCTAAGAGCTGGAGAGGTTTCACAGAATCTCACTCAACCAGCCTGCATGTTTCTAACGCCATGTATCCAATCTTCGATGATGGAGAACTCGGTGCCTTGTTTGCTTCTCCACTCACGCTTTTTTTTTCTCCTGGAGATATGATTCCATAAACTTGATTGTAAAAGTCTCCTCTCCTTTCTAATCATCTCTTCCGTTTATATAGAATACGTCTAGTTCTTATTCCAGGTAGAGCTTTTCAAATATTTGAAGATAATCGTCATTTTTGAGCTGTCTTGTTTTCATGTATGCTCGTGTGTACATGTTCATGTGTGTATACATATATATGCGTGGGGCACAGGCATGTCTGTTTAAAGACCAAAGGAGGCCAATCTCATCCACCTTCCTTTCTGAGGCAAGGGCTCATGGAAATCTTTGGGGATCAGCAAGCCCTAGGAATCTTCCTGTTTTTGTTTTCACGGCTTTGGGGTTACATGCTTGTGCCGTCATGCCCAGCTTTGTGTGTGGGTGCCCGGTATGAAACTCAGGTCCTCATGCCTGCATGGTAAGCACTTTATTGACTGAGCAGTTTTCTCAAGACGCCCCTACCAGCCGTCTTCTTAGTCACTCTGTCTGCTCCAAGGCAGACTGCAGACTGCTGGAGCAACACGTTATCCCACAGTCCCAGGGCCTGGGAATCTGAGGCCATGGCTTGGTTTTTGATGAGGGTCCCTTTCTGGTTTGCGGTCTTCTGAAGGTGACTTCAAGTGACACCCAGAGATCATGTATCCAATATGATGATTACCTCCAAGTCCTCCACATATCACCGTGCCGGAGGTTAGAGTTCCATCTTAGGGATCGTGTCGTCTCAACCATTCAGTGTATCGCACTGACTTTGAATTCTGTCTTCCAGGTAAAATATCATCGTGCAACCACTCAGGGGCAGCACTGCATTTAAGAGTGAAGGCTCTAGAACCAACATGTCTCTGTTGGAATCCCAGGCCTGCCTCATTTTTGTGAATTTTGGGTACATGAAAATTGAATTAGAACGTAGGTGTGGAGTGCTTAAAATAGCACCTGGCGTACAGCAGCCCGGCTGTGCTAAATGGACGTTGTTACAGTAGTCCCCTCTTGTTATCGAGGCCTAGATACACTATTTTTCCTGCTTATACGTGCTAATCAAGTTTAGCTTATACATCAGGCTCAGTAAGAGATTGCTAAAAAGAATATAGAACAGAATTAATACAATATGCTTTAACAAAATTGCCAGCATCTCTTCTGTCTAGCTTTGGAGTAATTAAGTGGAACAAGAGTGACTCAGACCTAGGCTCTGAGATGTTGTGATGTTGGCCTGGTAACCAAGAAGCCTCTCTCCTTTAGCTATGTTAGGTGGAGGTGGAACCCGGGCCTGTGAAGGCCAGACACCAGCACTCTATCATGGAGCCACCTCCCCATCCCAAGGAGAAGGCTTCCGACTGACCGGAGTGCAGATAGCATTTGCGGTGCAGACACACTGGACAGAGGTCAAATTCATCTCCTGGGCAGGACTTGGTGAGACAACAGAGGTTTCATCTGTTCCTTAGCATGGCATACAATTATGAGTTAATTCATTTATGGAATTTCCGTGGCTTATTTTAAAACTGCTATTCTCGGGGGGAGGGGGAGGGAAATGGGAAGCGGTTGTGGGGACGAGGCAGAAATCCTTAATAAATAAATAAATTTAAAAAAGAAAAAAAAAAAAAAGCTAGATGCTTAGTCATATATGTACCTGCAACCCTATAGAGATATTGGGGCAGAAAGAGAAGGAGCTGCATGCATTTGAAAACTCAACTGGGCAGAGATAGAAGGAACAGGGCCCTGGTTGGTTGGATTCTAACTCCAGATTGATCAAAAACCCTGTCCAGAGAA